CCAATGGACACGAAAGCAGACCATCCAATGGCAGCAGGGTAAAGCTTGACGGCCTGAGAGAAGGTCAGGTTGTGCTCGAGGCGGATGGCCTCGGCCAGAGCAGCATCATCGGCGCCGGGCTTCGCGTCCGGAGCAACGACAATGGTCTCGACATCTTTGGACGCCATCGCGGAGGTATTACTACAGGATGAAGAATCGACTCCCCGCAAGAGAGGCTGGATCTCGTCGTCTTGTGTAGCAGCCCTTGCGGATGAACGTGAGTGTGGAGGAGACATGATGATCTTATTTCCCCTCAATGGTAGCAGCCGTAATGCAGATGACCCGGCCGGGCTTTGCGTCTCGTTGAGCGGGCACCACGGTATCGGGACCCCTCATCCCCGGCAAAGACCGGTGTGAGCCCCGAGTGGCTAGCCTCTATCGACTACGGGATTCGAATCCAGGGCAGGGAGTGGTCAGGAGGTCTACAGAGATATGAGAATCTCCGGCTCAACAGGGGAAAGAGGGGGGGGGCGGAGGTGGTTGGGTGGTATTCAGACTAGGTATGGTATGTTGAAGATTGACAGAGGTTACTGGGCCCAAAACGAGAGCCAATCCGGGGTAAACAGCCTGGGCGCACACGCCGCCTTCTGGGCTTATCAGGGAGGTGGGGAGGTGGTCAGCATACGCTAGACCGCTGCGGGATGTTGGAGATAGCGGCCCAACCGTTCTTGCAGTGAACCCCTGCGTAAGCTTTGAGGTTGGCGGGGAATTCCTTGGGACGTGATGCCGAGACCTCGTCCCGAGCTTGATTTGACCACTGGCCTATCTTCTGTTTACCATCTCACTGTTGGGAACTTGCAAACGCTTATGATGAGATAGGTTAGAGGTTGTAAGGCAAACTCAAATACAAAGAGCTCGTCTAGCATGATATTGTTGACGTGTGGTTGATCGTGTTTCTTTTCTATTGCCAAGTATCTATGCCGCTGGTGAGAGGCCAATTCTAATCTTAACCTAGCTTTCGATATCTAGAGAGTCTATCATGACCGTGCCTCGCTCGACTATGAGCTCCTTGTAAGAGGTGCCTTATCTTATCACAAGAACCACTCCACTTCCCTTCCCTCAAACAGCTGGCCTTTTGCATCTCAATTACAGATATGTAACATGAAAATCAATCCGTCTGAGCTTTCTGATTTGAATTTAGTGAGTAGATTGTAGCTTGTCGACCGATGTTGGCCTGAGCGTCCAGGCATTGTTAAAGATGAGGACGCGGGCTCATGGTGACATAGTTTAGGTCTACATCATGACGGCGGTGAGCTACCGGGCCTTGAATTACAAATGTTGAGAGGGATTACATGGTCCATTCTAGAGCTCTGCAGGGCATTAGTAGATGGGTATTGATATTAAGCCTTGAGAGTCTCAAAGTCTTTGACAACGCTATAACTCTATGACGAGTCACCGCTAGACTCCAAATTGCACGTCGATATATATTTTTTTTTTCCAAACTCCGTCTCTGCATCTCTCTTTTTATTTCTCTGTCTCACATCATCAGTGTGTAATTTGACCAAAATCCATAACCTCAACTGCCGACCAAGAGTCAAAGTGTACGGTCCTACTTTTCTTCGGTGACACCGATCTCGTATCCAATCAGAACTTCGGTGCTCGTACCCTCCCAGCCGCGCGTTCCAGCAGTTGAGATCATGAAGCGGCACGTTCGATCGATATAGAGTGACGAAATGACACCAGCTCTAGGCGGACCAGGAATAATCAAGAAGGGGACGGTGGAATGCTTGAAAGCCCGGGTGTCCTTGAGGTCATACAGACGAAGAATATCATGGGAAGCGCTGTGCTTGTGTTAGCTTCACGATCACGTTTGCATGCCGGCTTTTGTGAGCTTACCAGACGAGATGGCGGCCGTTTGGCATCGCCCGAACCGCACTTACGGCTCCACTTCCGGCCGGGAACTTAAGGGTCCTCTCCGGCGCCCAGCCGCTTCTGGCCTTGTGGATGTTGTACTCCTCCACCGTTCCGTTTCGCCTGCCGGCGTAGATCCAGTTGCCGTCCGGACTCCAACAGGCACCCATACACCAAGGTGGCACGCCTCGCTGACTGCCTATCCTTGCGACGGGGTCTTGGACACGCCGATCCCATAGTCTGATGTTGCCATCAATGGCTGCGGAGAAGAAGACCGTGTCCGCTGATTGAGTTGGGTCCATAGCCGGTGGAGGAGGATCCGAGGCAAAAATCATGGAAGGTGACCCAGGATTTGCATCATCTGTCTGCATATCGGGTAGAGAAGGGATTTCTGGAAAGTCGGGAACAGGCAGCTCTGTCGTAGCATCGCCTGCGCCGTCTAGCGCCGGGGGAATATCTGTCGCAGTCGCTTCTAGAGCCGGTGCTGGAGGCTGATTTCTTGTGGCTTCAGGACTGCTGCTTCCTGGTGCCTGGACCGCTGGCGCCGGGGTGGCATCGGCGTTGAAGGCATTTGTCATATCGATATCGGCAGAGTGGTCCATACCGCCGTCCTGCCCTGAGCCATCATGAAGAGTGGGCATTCCCATGTCTCCCATCGCCCTCGAAAATTCATCATCGTCATCGCCGCCATAGTTGCCTGCCACGTTATCGCCAAATAGCGAGCCTGTGTCACTGCCACCAAAGAGCGACTCATGTGCGGGTGACGCTTGTCCCTCAGCACCCTCGCCAGCCAACGCAGGAGGCGGAGCTTCAACACCGTTGGTATCGTCTAGAGTGCCGTTCTGAGGTTTACTGTTATTCGAGGTAAAGGTCGGGTCAGGTTTGATTTCTTCCTCCATTGCCTCGGCTGGAATCGGTGCACCATTTACTGGGCGAAGCTCAATAGCAGAAGTTTGACCACCGCTACCGTCATAAGAACGCTTGACAGCGCCAGTGTTGAGATCCCAGTCGAAGATGTTCTTGTCCCAGCTGCCGCTCAGGACGCTCTTCTCGTCTTGTGCCAGGGTCAACACGCTCACAGCATTAGTGTGCTGTTGCAGGCATGTTATGCGCTTTCCTTCGTCATGCCTTACACTTTGGAGATTGATGCCGCCAGATTCGAGACCCGAAAGAAGCCATAGCGCCTGCGAGTGGACAGCCAATGAGTAAACGGGCGATAGGATGTGTTCCTCGTTCCCTCTAGGATTCGGCGGGCCTGGCTCCTCATTCTCCCAGTATGACATCAAAATGCCCGCCTTGACGACACTATCGACAAAGGGGTGCCTTTGCGCTACGGTGAGGAGTTGCTTGCCGTTTATTGTCCCAGGACCGTCGTACTTTCGGATATAGCCATCGGAGCCTCCTGTCATCCAGAACCTAAGATCGGGCGTGATGGCGACTGCGTTGACACTCGTCGCCTGCGGCGCAGCCATCGTAGGAACAATATCGTACAGCCGGGCATTGACGGCTTCAGGTCGGACGCTTGGGAATAGACTTGAGGGTAGCAGTGGAGATCCGCTCTTTATCCCTGGCGACGCCCCCGCGCCGGCCGAACCAGCTCTAGAGGGCACTCTTGCGTCTCTTGCAGCTGCGTCGTCGCCCTTTTCTTGCGTATCATCGCCCGTTTCTTCGCGGTCGTTATCCTCCTGGTCGTCTTCGTTATCTTCCTCCTCGTTTTCCATGTCCCCTTCGGCATCATCTACGTCCTCCATGACCTCGTCCTGGTCGTTCTGATCGTTTTGGTCATTGTCGGAGCTCGCGTTTGAGTCTGGATTGCCGGACAGGTCAGCGGATTTCTAGGAAACATAAGGCCCCGAGACATACCTCTATCGTCTTCATCCATGTTGAAGCTTCGGTGTATAGGATTGCAAACAATGCAGAGCGATTAGGTCGCAAGCAGAGCGCAGGAGGGTCGCGCAATCGGAAAGTCCGCGGCGTCGGCAGGGCTGCGCAAGGGTTGGAGAAGCGGTTGGGTTCGTTTGCGATTATATATGTATCTTGCAATTTCGCAGTGTAAGAATCACCGTTCCATTTCAAGTATAAAAAGAGGTTATATTAACAAAGTTGGCGGCAATGGGTTGCAGAAGATGAGTGATTGGTGGACGCTACTGATGTTCGTTGCGCATGGAATCGTCGCGAAAGCTGCGGTCGCGACGACGTGCTGGGTTGGAGCACCTCAGAAGCTCAGCTCGGTGGGGACGCCCTGGTGCTTTGTGCCCACTTCACCCTGTGTGCCTGTGCTGTTTGCCTCGCCAGGGCAGTTTAGCTTTCGATTACGGCGGGGAGACGACAAGGTTACCAAGGCCAATCGCGCTAGCATCCCCTGGGGCAGCACCAGCGCATCCCTTACGATAGAGCTCCGAAGCGGAAGCAGCGCCGGTTGTTTTGGCCGGGCAGGCCGTGACGGCAGAACTTCGGCGCCGCCCAGCTGAGGATCCGCCGGGACCATCGGCATCCCAACAACCTCTCAACGACATTCCTTCTTGAGCATCCCTTCCGACGTTTCTCTTCCCTGAGTCGCGAGCTCTGCCAGGTATTACCAGCATCTATGAGTGTCCGAGCATGTTGAGATCGTTTCCAGCCCACTGTACACGTTGACACTGCCAACCTGCATCAAAGCAACGGACAATCATCTTTGTTTCTTTTCATACCCATTCATTTCCCTCCTCGCTCGAGTAAAATTTCGCGGAAAGTCTCTGGAAATGGAGCCAGACTCAGACTTACCGCGGTTGCTTTCGACAAGGGCTTGTGCCTCGCTACGTTTTCAGCAAACTAATTGCAGCCTACATGCCAGAGGCCCTTCCTGACATGTCACGGGTATATATCTTGTTCAGCAAGAGCATACAATGTCTGTCACTGCATCGTTTGTATCTTCGCTTGGTCTTTTTGCAAGGTTATGATGTAGGAAGCCGTCGATGCATAAGCCTCTTGCCAAGAATGCGTTGTTCTGCAAACGCTTGAGATAATGTACCTTACCGCTCTCAACAAGCTAGCATGCCAAAAGTTTTTCCCTCGCAATCATTACGCTCCCTTTTCCCTGAAAGTAGTTGCAATTATCAACTAACTCAACTTTGTGGCGGATTTTCATGTTTACGTTTGGTAAACCGCCGGTAAACCGCCCTCTTTATGTGCGCATGGGTCCATCGAGTTCATGTTGGATATTAAGTCTAACTCCCGAATATGGTGCGTTTTCAGGTCTCTTTCTTGAAACATATGTGTATTCCTCATTAGTAGCAAGTGCTGCACTTTAGCTGAAGCTTATGGGGACTTTCTTTCTTCAATCTCGCAAACCGGTCACTACTTTTCTCACCTTACAATCTCAACATTCTGATCTTCCCTCCGAAAGTGCACTTAATCATGTCCCAGAAACATCCCCCTGACCGCGAAACTACGGCCATCTCACCTCAAACCCACCCGCATGCCGGGATGAGTTGGCGCGATACACCCGAACTGCCACGGGCAGAGGAGATCATAAAAGAATCATGCACCCTCCCAAAGAACAACGGTCTCAATGCCGTATACCCGACGAAAATCGCGTATCTCCGGGCCCAGTACGATCTCTTACGCTTCGAGGGCTCCGAGCCCCTCCGGAGAGCCGTTCAAGAATACAAATCCGCCCCCGAGATGGCAGAGAGCACCGAGACGTGCATATACACCGATGTAAGCAATCTACTAAGTATTCACAATCAGTATGGGATTGAACCTGATAGGAGATACCGAAAGGTCTTTGTCTGCGGAATCAACAATATACGCCTCGGAGTCATGGTCCGCGTCACCTTCTCCGCCGTCCGCGCCCGGCAACTCATCAACTGGCCGGCATCTCAGCGCGTAGTCCCAGGCACAATAGTAGCCCTCTCCCCCGCTTCGGACCACTTCAGAACACAGTGCATCGTGGCAGTGGTGACGGGTCGTTATGATGAACTCGCCGGCAACTCAACGGCGCCTCCTCCCTTGGATCTTGAATTTTCCGATCCCAGTATCACTGCTGGTTTCATGGAGCTGGATCAAGAGTATGTCATGGTCGAAGCCCGCTCAAACTACTTTGAAGCCGTACGACACGTTTTGGAGGGCCTCAAGCAGACGGCAGAAGACGAGTAAGACGAGGGCATTTCCAAAACTCTATGAGAGTCTCTGGACTAATATTTTTCTCAGCTCACCATTCGACAAGTACTTCGTCGGCCAGCTGAACACCGTCGACATGCCTAGTTCACTACCACCATCATCCACCACATTGGACATCTCAGCCCTCCATGACGGTCTTCAACACCCAGTTCCCATAACCATCCCCAAACAAGGCGACATACCCAACCACATCCAGTCGAAGACAAGACTAGACCAATCCCAACTACAAGCCCTCCAGCGCATGATAACAAAGGAGCTTGCCATCGTCCAAGGCCCACCCGGAACAGGCAAGACGCACACGTCCATGGCCGCGCTCAAAGTTCTGCTAAGCACACAACGCATCAATGTGCCCATCATCGTCACGGCCCAAAAGAATGACACCGTCGACGAGCTCCTCGCCAGATGTCACCAGCTCGGCGTGGACTTTGTACGCCTCGGCGGCCAGGCCAAGGACGAGGTCGTCGCCAGCCGGACGCTCTTCAACCTCCGCATGCGGTCCCGTGACAAGACGTGGAGCAAGAGCGCGCTCGAGAAACGCCTCGTCTCCCTCAGGTCGCAGGTGAAGCTTCCCCTCCAGCGCTGTTTCCCTCCCGTTCACCAGCAGCTAATCTTACCGGAACACTTCCGCGAGGTCGGCTTGATCAGCGCGGAGCAGCATGCCTCCGTCACGAAAGGCTGGGACGGCGTCGTCGGATCCATTGCCGGGGAGGGACCCCAACACCCGCTGGGATCGTGGCTCGGTAATCAGTTGCTCGCCAAGATACCTCATAGGAGCATCCACGTTCCTCTCGGCGACGGCGTTGACGATGACGAAGCATCGTCGGTGCCCGGTGTCAGCGAGAAGGGTTCCGCCAACAAGAAGAAAGAGCAGCTGTCGGGCAAGCCTATCTTCATCGCGCGCTGGAATAGCATCAAATACTCGAGAGGTGTTGCTCTCAGCCACAAGCTGGCGCAAGAGCTGCTCGCCAAGAATGGCAACCTCTGGTCGATTGCGCCAAAGTATCGCGGCATGGTATACCACTACCTCGAACGTAGATACATCACATCAACCAAGCTCGCCCTCTCCGCAATATTCAAGCAACTCGATAACGTCGTCAAGAAGCTCAAGGTGACCCGCTGGCAAGAAGACATCACCGCGGTCCGCGCGTCAAAGGCCCGCATCATAGGCTGCACGACAACAGGCCTCACAAAGTACCGCGAGCTCATCGCTGCGCTGCGGCCGCGCATCATGATGATCGAAGAAGCCGCCGAGACCCGCGAAGCAAACATCACCGCCGCGCTGTTCCCCTCCCTAGAGCAAATCATCCTCATCGGCGACCATACGCAGCTGGCGCCCCACGCCGACTGCCTGGAGCTCAGCAAGCCCCCATTCTACCTCAACGTATCTCTGTTTCAGAGGCTCGTGGAGCGCGGCCTGGAGCATTCCACTCTCCAGGTGCAGAGACGCATGGCGCCCGACATTCGCAAGCTGCTGAGCGCATGGTATCCTCTTTTGGTGGACCACCCTTCGACGTTGGACCGGGAAGCTGTCCCGGGTATGGGCTTGAAGAGCGTGCTGTGGTTCAACCATCAACGCCCCGAGTCGTCTAACCGGTACTGCAGCAAAGTCAATACTTTCGAAGCCGACATGATTGTCGGGCTGTACAACCACCTGGTGTCCAACGGCACAAGCCCGGCAGAAATTACCATCCTGACCTTCTACAGCGGACAAAAGGCCTGCATCGAAAACAGCCTCCGCCAAACTCCCGGTGCCGGTCGTCTCGGGCTCGAGGTCCAGACAGTGGACGGGTACTAGGGCAGGGAGAACCGCATCATCCTCATCTCCATCACCCGAAGCCCGGAAGACCGTTCAAAACCGAACTCGGGCTTCCTCAACGACCTGAGACGCGCCATCGTCGCCCTCAGCCGTCCTCGACACCTGCTGGTCATCCTCGGCGACATGCAGAATCTGCTGGCATCGTCAGCTCGACCCATCTGGAGCGAGGTCTTAAACAGGATGGAGGCTCCGCCCACAGACTACATCCCCATCTTCTGCAAAGCGCACGAGAGCGAGATTCGCATCCGGCAGCCGGGTGATTGGGCAAGACTTGCGGGTAAAGGAGGCTGTAGTATGCGCTGCGGGCGACCAACGGGTGCACAAGGAGCAACATGCGGCCGAGAGTGCCACGGGTACGTTGGCCCCGAGCCTTTTGACGAAGAATGCTAACTGGATCTGGTATCTAGAGGCTCTTGCGAGCTCTCGGTCAGTCCCGTGTCCACCGACAGTAACGCGCGGACCATTTCTGAGCTTCCCGTCCCGACGAGCATTTCGAGGCCACCAGCGCAGGAAGATCTCATAGACCTGAGCAACTTCTAAGGTGGTGGGCTGGGAGGACGCCTCAAAGCAGGGAATTGAAGGGTAGGAGTATGGGTCCAGGATTCAAACTGCACACAGCGTACGATGCTGGCTGAAGACCGACGCCTACAAGAGCAAGGCGAGGCCACAAAGGCAGATCACAGATCCAGGCAGTAGCTAGCTAAGCTTGGAGAGAGCATAACGTAATAGATTCCGATGATCTCGCCCGGGGCCTTTCAACGTACACGGAACTGCATCAAAGCTAAGTACGAGTGAGCGTGGCCAAGTTAATCATCCAGAAACAGACGTCACTGGCCAGGCCAACGCGGAACCGTCTCCCTGGGCATGGCTCAACCAGTCAGTCTTCCTTCAGAAAACCGTGCTCGCCATCAAAACATCGAGTTGACGTCAAAAATTGCCAGGACTCAACCTGACATCATGGCGCAACGTTTTGCGGCCCAACTAACCATTCGGCTGCAAAAGACTTTGTAAAGAAAGAGGCCGAACTCTCAGACCTTGAGGTTGTTTCCAGAAGTGTTTCCCGTCCGTCTTATCGATAGCTTATCGTGCATTTGCGAGATGAATGAAAGTGACCTTCAATCCTCTTGCCTCAGGCCATGAGGACCCCTTCCTTCGACACCAGTACCACGGTAATAAGTTGCAAAGAGACGGACGCACTTACATTTACCTGCACACCCCCCTCCTCATTTGAACAGAACCTGCCCACACAGCACGAGGCGTCCGGGATGGTAGGGGCCACACCCGTTGCGGGCTACGGCAGCAATCCTAGGGCCCCCGGAAGGCGGAAGCGAAAATTTTCTTGCACTGGCACGAAGCGGGAATGGAAGAAGTTCACGGCAGAGGAATCTCTCTCTCTTTCCGAGACGGCTTTGCTAGAGTGCCAAGCAGTTCTAGTCAGATCGAGTCGATTCGATTCGAGGTGATGTCAGTGTGTAGCATCTACATATTTCTGACTGCACGACATATCTTTCCTACTTTTCCTCACATCGTGGTCTCGAGCTTTCATGAGAACAAGATTCAGCAGGCACCTCGTCTCTCACCGTTTCTGTTGAGGATCTGGTCCGAGGGAGAGAACCTCGAGAAGAAAGTTAAGCCAGGTGCCATCGTCATTGATTTTTCCTAACCCGAGCGTAGTCGATTGTGCCGTCTGAGTGGCCAATGCCATTGCTCATCCCATCATATCGTCCCGTAACGACGGTCAGAGGAGATGAGTGAGCATGCTCGTCGACCATCTACAGTCTCGTAGACGAATCGCTTCCAAGCGAATTCATCACTAGGTAATTTATTTGGGTGGTGTTCGTCTTTCCATAGAGAATGCGAGTGAGCGAGTCGGGATGAACCTGGGTCGGCCACCTCGTCGACAAGACAAGATTGCTGCCAACCGCCATGAAGCATTCTCGACAACAAGGTTAGCGAGGCGAGAAAGCACACTAGGCTGACTTGCCCTCGCCAGGCATTTCATCGGGGGAAGAAATGTGCGGATGAGTAAATAGTCCCCAGTGCCGCCAAATGAGTAAGATGAGTGATGCTGCGGGGATGAGATGTGCCTCAGGCAGTTCAGGCAATTGAGGCAGAGATATACGAACCCGTTGACCGGCACACTCACCCACCCCCCGAGCCTTCGGCACTCCTGGGGGCCAGCCAAGGCTCCCTTCCGCCCAACCGCCGTGCCGCCCTAGCATGACGGTGCAGCAACTGACACCTGCGCTGGCTCGATCCGAACGTTCAATCCCCCCCACCCCCGCGTCGATCAACAGAACCTGGGCTCCGCTGGAGAACCGTAGTTTTGACACGCCCCTCCAAAGAGGGAAGGGAAAACGGGGAAGAAAACAACTTTGGTACATGTCCATCTCATAGGGCTGAGCTAGGATCTTCGACAACCTCTTGCCAGCACCATCACAGCTTCACAGCCTGCGATAGTCACAGGATTGGTAGTATTGATGTTTTGGTTTTTTTGTCACAAAATATCCTGTATGAGTTTGGCATATGCACTTTGCTAAATTTACCCGACAATCCTGGTAGGTGGTTATTGACGGTTATCACATAGTGAAATACTTGACAAAATATCGTGTCGTGATTGAACCTGAGACCCTTCATTTCTCCTAGTAGAGAAATAGCTGCCGTACCGCAACTGTGTTCCACCCGATAACAACGCAGCCGTAACCAGTCTTCAAGCTATCCCAGCGACTCAGCCACGTGCTGATACAATAGCCGCGAACGTAACCTGCCCGACCCGAAACCAAATGACCTTGAACCAAAACTGATGAAAAGGGGGTATGATGACCAATTGACCCAAATGCAAAACCAAAGAAAGGAAATTGTGATGGAGTGGGGTGACAAGACTGGGGTGATCAGATTTCTGTCGCACTCCGGGTATCATGATAGTTGTCCCTAATGCTCTGATGTAGTAAATGGCTGTGTCCGTGATGTGATGCCGCATATGTGATGAAACAGACCCAAAATATCAAGACCTAATGAAACCTGAAATACGCTCTCGCTGAACAAAAGAAAAGTGAAGGACCATGTCCCATGATACTGGAAGTAGGAAATCCGGATTAAGAAACCAATCCAAAGCCTAAATCGCTGTATGCAAAGAAATGCCCCCAAAAAGGAAAAAAGAACGAGGGGATAACTTGAGCTCTTCTCATGTTTTGTATGTCGTAAGTCTATTCAAGTCATCGTAAGAGTTGCGTCGTGGAAATAGTTTCGAAACGTGACGTTGGTAGGTATAAGTATACCAGGGTCAAACACCATGCATCATGCCAGATGATGCATAGCTCTGAAGAACAAGATGCTTGAAGCAATGTTCAAAGAAATTTGGCCGTCCACTTGAGGTCGAGCCAACCGACCTTGTCGAAAGCTGTCCAAAGCTTGGAAGCTTTGTTGACATCGATCTTACAGGCCTGCTGAGCGTCCGTCTTGCGGAACTCCTTGCTAACCTTCGCACACTCGACCCGACGGACAAAAATACGTCGCTTGCTGGTAAGATAGGTGGCGCAGTCGAGTCGAAGATTTGCAGCAAGACTAACCTCGTCAGGGTGAAGCAAGTGAACGTTGGCGTCGTCGCTGAGGTCGATGGGGGCGCCTTTCCAGTCTACCTTCAAACAGTTGGGCTTGTCTGGCAGCGAAGAAGTCGGGGGGCAGTAGTCGGGAAGAGCGGCAAAGTCGCGGTCCTCTCTGTTCGGTGCCACGATACGACGAGCAGGGTCCGGAGTCGAACTGACGCGGCGAGCATGGCGAGTAGGGGGGCTGGTGCGGATGGGCCGCGGAGCCTGAGCCTTGACGACGCGTTCAGGCTTGGGGTTTGAGGATAACGATACCCTAGGCTTGCTAACTGCTGGTTTGGAGGCCTTGACGGGTGCGGACTTGGCTGGGGCGATAGTCTGATATCGCACGACGCTGTTCCAACGGGCGTGGTTCAGCTTCCGGTCGGCTCTAACTTGGTCCCTTTCCTTCTCGTACCAAGACTTCCTTTTGTTCGCAAAGAGTCTCATGACCTGCGACTTGAGTTGCAGAGCTAATTCGTAGTCTTCTCTGAGAGGAGGCGAGCCCTCGCGGAATAGGCCAGGAGGTCGCGTAACAATGTGCTCGTCGACAATACGTCTGTGTTCGATGGATTCGGTGCTGGGGAAGAGAGGTGGCTGTGTCGGACTCGAAGCAGCATCCTCACGAGGGTATAGGATTGGATCCTTTGAAGGCGTTCCGGGAATGTTTATGTTGTTGGATTCTGTGATGTAAGGCGAGACTGGAGGCGACATGGGCATGTGGGGCTTGGATGATTCGCTGGCCTGAGAAGCACCCGGTGCAGCCTGTACCGTGTTTTGTTGACCTTGGCTGAAGCTGTCATATGGGACTGGCTCTGGAGGAGACATTAGATTGCTAATGTCGAAAGCCCTCTTCGGCTCTCGAGCCATCGTTGTCGCTTGATGCGGCGTCATGTGGTAGTTGGGCTCCATTGCTTGTGAAATTGAGGTCGATGAAGACGGTTGCATCCTAGAGAACTTGAATGGGATTTGGGTAGTGTGAGTTGAGTCAAAGGTTCTTGTAGGTTGCGGAGCGGCGGTATGGTTGGGTTTGTCAGCCATCTTATATGTTGTTGGTGGTGGCGAGGCGGAGTATGGAGATATCGGAGTTGGGGTATATCGGGTGTAAGGGAAGCCGGTGGATAGCGGAGGAACAATTGCGTGTTCAGGGCTGAAGACGGGATTGAAAAAGCAACTTTTTGCTTCAAGCGTCCGACTGCCTTTGAAAGAGATTTAATTGACCAGCAGTTGGTTGATTGTGTTGGGAGGAGCGAGAACCGTCAGTAGGGGGGATTTGTGACCCAATTGATGATGACGTTCGCTGCGGGAAGCTTGTTTGAGTGTCGCTTTACTGCGGTCGGGTGCTGACGCAGCCGTGCTGAGGATGGTGGACAGTGGGAGTAATGCAATCGACCAGTTACTTGTGCGCTCGATGGCAAGCACAAGCCTCCATTGACTTGAATTGAATCAAGAGTAGACAGAAATGTGCGTCAATGTCAAACGAGGAGCGAAAGGGCACTCTATGGA